GAGCCCCTGATGGTATGGCTGATGTAATTAGGTCCTATGATGATGTCACTTGAATAGATATGTGGACAGAGCCCGATGCCAACTGAGTTGCAAAGTCCCAGTCCTGAGTTGGCATCGAGCTCCGTCCACATATCTATTCAAGTGACATCATCATAGGACCTAATTAAATCAAAATACATTTGGAGATGTTTGAGAGGGGAATAAAATACCTGGGCTAGGTTAGCCTAAAACTCAGCCTGAGACGGGGCCTGATTGCACCAGGGAGGGAGACGAGCTGCTGAAGATAAAGGACAAATCAAATGGGGATAAATGGGGCAGGGATCAATGGAGGCTGGAGATGAGAAGGATTCTAACCATCAGAGGGGGGAGGTTCTGGAACAACCTCCAGTGGCAGATGCTGGGGGCGAAGCACCTAACAAGGATGCAGACAAAGCTTGATAAGTTTATGGATGGGATGATATGTTGGAGATGCCTGGGATAGCAGAAGCTGGACTCTACGACCCAGTAAGAGTCTTCCAGGCCCGTGTTCCCATAAGGGCATGAGACACCTGAAATACAACTCCCAGGATGCACCATGACTAGAAATTATTGGGCTTTTTGCAACAAAGTTTTCCAGGGAAAATGTTGATGAAAAAGCTTCTCTCCCTCCCCACATCCCCACCACATGTTCTGACTCTCTTTACTCTTCACCCTCACTAGAGGATCTACTGGTGAACTCAACCCTGAGGCTACCCAACAGACTGGAGCTTGAGTGAAATCCTGGCCCCATAGACGTAGATGGGAGCTTTGCTGTAGATGTCGATAGGGGCAGGGTCTCACTGGAGTGAGGGAGAGTGAGCATTCCTGTCCCACAGGAAATGGCAATATTCCAATCTTTATCTTCAAAGAAAAGTTGAGATTTCAACATTTTTGGCAGAATGGAAATTCCCAAAACAGGTTTGACTCAGAAATGTCGAAATGTTTCATTTCAACATTTTTAATCAAAATGAAACATGCTGAGATGTGAACAGATTGAGATGTTTCCTTCCATGTAAACCAACTGGAGAGAGTCCAGAGGAGAGAAACAAGAACAAATATATGATCAGAGGTTTAGAACAGCTGACCTAGGAGGAAAGGCTGAAAGAATAGGGCATATTTAGGGTAATGAAGAAGTGGTTGAAGAGGAGATATGATAACCATCTTCAGATATGTTAAGGTCTGTTCTAAAGAGGAGAGTGAGCAAATGTTCTCTATATCCATTGAAGGTAGGACAAGAAGTAATAGGCTTGATCTCCAGCAAGGGAGATTTAGGTTGTATATTTGAAAAACTTTCTAACTCTAAGAATAGTTAAGCTCTGGAACAGGTTAACTAGGGAAGTTGTGGAATCTCCATCACTGGAGGTTTTTAAGACCAGGTTGGACAAACACCTGTTAGGGATGATCTAGGTTTATTTGGTACAGCCTCAGAGGAGAGGATTAGACTAGAGGACTTCTCCAGGTCACTTCCAGCCCTATATTTCTATGATTCTGGGATTTTGGTTTGTTGAGTTCACCCAAAATGCTACGTTTCAAGCAAGGTCAACATTGCCTTCTGGGAACTGTAATTTAGGCCCCTATTTTCCCTTATGTAGCCCCTGCCTGGACTATGCATGATGCAATGAAGACCTGAACTACAACAACCTAAGTCAATGCATAGCCGCCAACTTCCCCTCTAGCCGGGGTGCTCGATCCCCCCTCCCCCTCTGCCCCTAGTCCCACCCCCATTCCACCGCTTGCCCTAGCACCCTGTCTACAGCCCTTCCCTGCCTCCTCCCGCAAGCACGCTGTGTCCCTGCTCCTCCCACTCCCTCCAGGCGCATCCCAAACATGGTGAAACAGGTGTTTTGTGGGGGGCAGGAGGCGCTGGGAGGGAGGGGGAGGAATTGGTCAATGAGCTGCTGGCGAGTGAGAGATGCTGGGGAGAGGGGGAAGAGGAGGAGCTTGGCTGCTGGAGGGTGCTGAGTACCCACTAATTTTGCCCCATGGGCACTCCAGCCCTGGAGCAGCCACGGAGTCAATGCCTATGAGCCAATGCACGGATAGGAAAAAGCAGTTGAACTAATTCCTAACTACCAAATATTCTGATTTGCATGGAACTGCCATGAAATGAAATATTTCATTTCAATTTTCCCCATGAAAAAATATAAAATTGTCTGTAAAATCAAATTTTTCTGTGAAAAAAATTCAGTTTTGTCTAAACTGCCTTTTCCATGGGTACATCATTCTGCCCAGCTCTAGATATCACTGTCTGCCCACCCATTTCCAGGCCGGTTCTGTTTGGTGGCAAGGACTGGGCCTTCAGAGGCAGAAAATAACTATCCGAAAATCTGAGATCTCTGTTGGACAGGCTGGGCTGGGAAATGCCAGTCACTGATGTTATTCTCCTTCCGCGATTCTGGCGGGCCCCTGGTGTGCAACGAGGTAGTCCAGGGCACAGGGCATTGTCTCCAATAGATATCTGGAGAGGTGCCCGCCCCCCTCCAGCATATACACAAGAATCTCCAAATGTATTTTGATTTAATTCTGGGTGATTGTTTCAAGTTAGGTTGGGCTTAATAAAGTAGGGGGCCTTGATGGTCTGGGCTCAGAGGCCTGATGGAGGGGACCAGCCTGTCTCCTGTTTGTGATCCTTCTGTCTCTGGATGGGTGTACAGAGTGGAAGAGGACTTACATAGAAGGGAAACTAAAAATACCCTGGTACCGATTTCTCCTCCAATGGGTCTAAATGCGCTCTATTGGCAGGAAGATGTCCCAGGTGTCAGTGACAGGATACCATAGCCAGGAGAACTGATAACACACACAGTGCATTGCTTTTTCACTCATGATTTTCCTTGTCTTTCTAGCAGACCCGGCGTGAACTACTCCAACCCTGGGGGTGAATTCCTCATGGGGTCCAAACCAGTCCCTGGTTACACCTGTTAGGTACAACAATTGGCTGGGGGGCATTCATTCAGTTCCCAGGAAGGCACAAATTCATTGTTTTGTAAGGTTTCTGAGTAGCAGCCATGTTAGTCTGTATCCACAAAAAGAACTGGAGTACTTGTGACACCTTAGAGACTAACAAATTTATTAGAGCATAAGCTTTCGTGGGCTACAACCCACTTCTTCGGATGCATAACTTGTTTTGTAACTTCATTTTTATTCGTTGCTGGCTAAGAAGCAGGGAGTGAAATGCAGCAGGCTGAGCAGCAGGGCAGGGAAGGGGAGGTTAGAAGGAGATGCTCAGAACTGTCATTTCATCTGAAATCAGCATATCCTTTGCTAATTTCCCTCCCCATGAACAAACTCCCGCTGGCCTTGACAGTCCTAGGAATATGTGTGTTTGGAACAGGAGGTGGCCATCCCGGGGGAACTAACATGTGGGAAAGGACCAGAGAGGACAGGGCAGGCTTCAGTTTTAACACCACTTAACAGGTCAGGTAAGAACGAGCATCTCCCATAAACGGTCACCTGACTGGCTGACACGGGGGAGAGGCACAAACCGCTGAGTCCTCCCTGGATTTGGCTTGTGTCCATTACCCCGGGGAAAATAAAACCAGTTCTTTCCCTAGTGAAGAGGCAGCCTAGGGGTCTGGGTCGGGATTTCCAAGGGAGCCAACAGAAGCTGGCCTTGAACCTGACCCTAACTCCCCTAGGCTTCCTGCATTGATGCTTATGGGTTGGGCGCTGCCTGAGCACACAGCAATGGTTGGTGGGGGGGACTCAACCCCCCTGCAAAGCAGACTCTACATCTGGACCAAGCCAAAGGACAGAAGTGGTGAACCTCCAGGCCGTGCAGTAATTACCAGCAGTGCTCAAGGCTGCAGCATCCTCATAGTCTTCCGTATCCAGGGGATGAAGGTGGAGACTCTTGTGTACACAGCGGGTGGGGTCCCCAACTTTGATCCCCAAGAGACTATGCCCTGGGCTGTTTGCTGGCACACCAGGGGACCCCCAGAGTCACCCTGTGAAATGGAACAAGAAACAGATAAAGAACAGGTCTCAGCAGCACACTCTTGCATCACTAGCAACATCCTAGTTCCCCATTCATTTGTACAGCACTGAGCGCAGCAGGGCCTGACCTCTGATCTTCTCTCTGACACCCGACCGCAACCCCAACAGCCTCATTAACAACAAAAATTTGTCAAGGGAGCTTGAAGGCAGGAGGAGATTTACCTTGAAAGAGCTTTTGCCCTTCTCTGGGTCCCCCACACACATCATGGTGGAGGGGTTATAGGCACGGTATATCCCACGAGGATTCCTCGGACACGCAGCATCCTGCATCACCACCACGTCCGCCTCCCGGAGTGTGTTCGAGTTCAGATTATTGTGTGCACTGGTCCAGCCCCAGCCAGCGATGCTGCACACGGTGCCTGAATGCATTCGCTGATGGGCCACGGGCAGGGGGATGAGCCCGACATATTCATTGAGACGTGCTTTGTGCTCCAGCTACAAACAGGAAAGGACACAAGGACAAGGATGAATATAAAGGCCAGAGCCAATGATGGGCAGAGACATATGAACCCAAGGAGAAAGATTCTAAAGCCAGTGTATGGCCATGAGGTCACGGGGGGGCGGGGATGGGATGGGGCAGTACCTGCAGCTTTGTGAGGTCACTGGGGGCAGGGTGATGGGATGGAGGCGGTACCTGCAGCAGTGTGAGGTCACTGGGGGGGGGGGATGGGATGGGGGTGGTACCTGCAGCAGTGTGAGGTCACAGGGGGTGGGGTGATGGATGGGGGTGGTACCTGAAGCACTGTGAGTTCATTGGGGTGGGGTGATGGGCTGGGGGCGGTGCCTGCAGCAGTGTGATGACACTAGGGGCGAGGGTGAGTGGGAGTGGGGGTGATACCTGCAGCAGTGTGAGATGACGAGGGGGTGGGGTGATGGCCTGGGGGTGGTGTCTGCAGCAGTGTGATGTCACTAGGGCGGAGTGATGGGCTGGGTGTGGTACCCGCAGCAGTGTGATGTCACTAGGGGTGGGGTAATGGAATGGGGGCGGTGCCTGCAGCAGTGTGATGTCACTAGGGCGGAGTGATGGGCTGGGGGCGGTGCCTGCAGCAATGTGATATCACTAGGGCGGGGTGATGGGCTGGGGATGGTACCCGCAGCAGTGTGATGTCACTGGGGGCAGGGTGATGGGATGTGGGTGGTACCTGCAACAGCATGATGTCATTGTTAGTTGTCTTATTGTCGTATTGTGGGTGGAGGATCTGACGATGCACAGGGATCTCTTGTTGGCTCCGTTCCTCTTTACTAATGTTATGGGCTCCCAACTTGACAGTGATCTCACTGTAAAAGACGAGCACAACCCATGGGGCATCAGTTACAGAAGCGTATGTGAGGTGGGGGGTGGGCACATGTCGGTCTGATTCACGAACAGTGATATGGACGGGGCAGGGTACCCTGGTGCTATCCCCCTGAGCAGGGCAAGCTCTAGGTTTTTTGTCGCCCCAAGCAAAAAAATTTTTGGCTGCCCCCCACCCCAGCCT